GGGGGGGAAGGATATGAAGAAAGTGGGGTTAAAATGGGAACCGGACGGAGAAGATTAGACAAAAGCCCCCCATGCAAGCTTAAGATGAAAGAAGAGAAGAAAGAAAAACAGAAAAGAGGGAAATAAAGAAAGTGGGGAGGGGGGAAATGAGAAACGAAAAGGGATCCGGATCCCTACCTGGCATTCCGATTGTGTGGCTCCGGTCCCAATAGCAGCGCCATCTGAACCAGGGTCAGCACCCCGTAGACGTAAGAGCCCCAGAACTTCAAAATTTGTGAGAAGTCCAGCATTGCGCTCTAAGCTGCTCACATCAGCAAAATCATGGTCAATTTCATTCCATTAAGTTGTTTAAAACTTCATATACATCTACCAACCAGCAAAATCAATTAACTAGTCAATCAACCAATCAATCATTCAACCAATCAATCATTCAACCAATCAATCAATCAACCAATCAATCAATCAACCAATCAATCAATCAATCAATCATTCAATCAACCAAGCAATCAAGCAATCAATCAATCAGTCACTCTGTGTCAACCAATCGCTCAATCAACCAATCACTCAATTTTCCTGAGGGGCTCTTCGACACCATCCAATTAATCGATCATCCCAACCAGCAAATCAATCAATCCATCAATCTATCAATCAATCAGTCACTCTCTGTGAACCAATCACTCCCTCAATCAGTCAATCACTCAGCTGGCCGGCAATTATGGTGTACAGGAGGGGCTCTTCAACACCATCCAATCAATCAAACACATTCATTCGTTTTGTAACAAACCACTATCTGGTCAGCACATTGCCAAGGCACTCGGGTGGCAGTTTTTTTTTTTTTTAAGGCTTTCTTTCTCTTTTTCTCTTAAAGACGTTCAGTCTGGAGATACAAGCATCGAACTCCTTTTAAGAAAAGAAAGAAAAAAAACGAGAAAAGCTAAATGGCTCAGGTCTGTGTTTATCCAAAGGTGACTCAGGTCTGTGTTTATTATCAACGAAAGTTTTTTCTTACCCGTGAGCCACATGGCCTGCGTGGGGACGCAGATTTGCCTGGAAAGAGCAAATGGGCGTTGCTTACCTACAAACAAAAGAAGTGCAAAATGAGAATGAATTTTCCGCTACAACATGGAAAGATACACCGTCATGATTTTTGTCTTTTGTGATTGTCGGGAGTAGAGGAGCAAGGTCCTATGCCTCCTGTCTACTGGGTGAACGGCCTCACCAACTGAACACTGTGTTCTAGTGTCCCCTCCTTTGCACGGATTAAGAGAGAGAGAGAGAGAGAGA